GCTCCGGCCGCCGTCGGTGCCCGGAGTGCTGTGGGTGCAGCCCCTGAGCCTCCGCGGACGCGAGAAGCGCTGGGAACGGGCTGTAATTAATTTACACGGCTCTGCTCTGTTCCCTCTCCCGTCTCTCCCTGGGCTTCCTCCCCATTTTGCGTCCCAGAGTGCTCTCGGTAGGCCCCGAGTGTTGGTGCAGGTGGTACGTGTTCCCTCTCCACTTTCCCTCGCCATTCCTTCGTTTGGAAATGTATTCATCCTCCTCCTCTGCAGAGGAATTGTCTTTTCAGTGCTTTGCATGTGGAGGAGAAGGCAGGGGAGGCTGTGAGAGGTTTGTGCTTTGGCTTTTCCCCCTACACCATATGCACACGCTCCACCCTCCTGTCGCTGGGGAGGAAAAAAAGGTGCCAGTTTGGTTCGGTTGTATGGAAACGAGAATTTCGGCCTCAAGGAGCAAGAGCAGTGATTTTCCTTCTAAGATGTTCCCTCTAAATGCTTCCATGGCGCTAGAATGGGAAGTGGAGAGGTCGGAGAAAGGAAAGAAAATGGGTTGTAGGAATTTTGGGGAGTGGTAGAGAGATGTGTGTGGTTAAAATGTCTCTGCAGAAAGCGTTTTGCCATCTCCTGTGTTTTGCTGTGTGACTTCACCTCCTCAGGTTTTGATTACAGGTTAAGATCACCTTGGATGTCTGTGATCCTTCAGGGAAGAGCTTGAGGCAGGAAAGAAATGCAACTGGGCTGTGTATTCCAGCACTTAGTACGCCGAGGCAGTTGGTCTTTTCTGGAAAGACTGCTTTCAGCCTATCGCTCTCCTTCTCTTGGACTTTTTCCTCCCCCTTTAAGCTAAAGGCGAAGTCTCTTCTGTGCTCTGCTCCCCGGAGCCCTGGATTGATGTGTAAATGACATCTGTTGCTCAGCCGGTTCGGGTTGTGTGGAGGAAAAGTTCCATTTTGACGGTGGCTTTCGGGAAGCACCAAAAAAAAAAAAAAAAAAGGGCAGGGAAAAAAAACGCCAAGCACCGAGCGAGACAAGCCCATTTCTGTCTCTTCCTGTATGTCCTCAGCCCTGCAGTGATTTGCTCAGGAGGCGATGCAAAAGCGCTGGGTGGTGGTTTTCGGAGTGTGTTTTGGTGGCAGAGTTCAAATGAATCACTGCCTTCCGCCGAGGCTGTAATGTTCCTGAAGTTTTCCCTCCGATCCGTTTTCTACGGTAGTAGAACTTGTTCCCATCCCATTGCTTGTTTGCTTTTCTGCTCGGATTTTGCTGCTGTTTTTCTTTCAGGCTGATAATTGTTTCGGTTACTTCTGCGCAGAGACTCTAAAACTGTGGTAAAAGTCTTTTCTTTAGCCTTTGGAGTGGAGGTGCCGAGCGGAGGGTTTGGGAGAGGGTTTGGAAAGGGACAGTGTGGAACGGGAGGTCGAACTTTTGCAGCTCGGAGAGTTTGTGTGGAAGTAGTTTGTGTGTGTGTGTTCGGAGGGTTGTGGCCGCTCCCACGACGTTGATGCGCTCTGAATTCCTCGCTGCTGGCCCCCGGGCCGGGGGCAGAGAGCTTTGTGCTGGCCGAGCCCCAGCGGCGCTGCCCGAACAATGTGCGGAGGAAGGAGGTGGAGGGCGGTGTGGGCGGGACGGGGCCGCGAGCATTGTGTGCTGCGGGCTGCCCGGGGGCTCACGCTCTGATTGTGTTTTATTTTAGGAGCTGGAGGAGGAAATGACATTCAGTGGTGTTTTTCTCAGGTGAAAGGCGCTGTGGATGACGATGTAGCAGAAGGTAAGACCAATATTTGTCACTGTTTTCTCACTTTTTAGCTGCCCCTTCCGTAGGCGTCGGTGAAATCCCTCGGTGCTGCTGGGTGCGAAGCAAATGCACAGTTTAGGTGCTTTCCCATCCCTAGGTTCAGGATTAAACTGTGGTTTGAGAGTAACGTTCAGCACAGTTGTCAAAAAGGCTGAGTTCAGGCTTCCTAACTATTTTGCTGGAATTGTTTTCCGAGATGGTTAAGATTTTTCTGCCTCTCAGCTCTTGGTTTGTGTTTTTTTCCTAATCTGCAGTATGGGGAATGTGATCCTTGCATTCCACAGGGAGGTGTTGTGAGAATTAATTAATGTATGTACTCTTTGAAGATCTGAGTGCTAGATAAAGGAATTTTCCCCATCTTTCCAGCCCCTACTAAGCAGGAGAGGCAGAAATCCGAGTGTTGGTGCGTGCTGACCGGTTACATAAAGCGCCGGTTGTGCTGGAGGTAACGCTGGGAATTGTCTGAAAGTTTCCTGAGCTGGCAGTGACGAGTGTCACCTCACACTGAGATGGCTGTCTGAGGCTGTCACTGCGAGGGCTGTGCTGGCTCCTGGCTGCTCCTGGGATCCTGCAGAACCTCTGCTGGGACCTGCCTGGAGAAGATTCCCTGAGCGCTGGGCTGATCTGTCCTGTCGGCACAGCACGAGTTAAAATTCTTCTTTTGCAAGCAGTTGGCCTTGTCACTTATGTAATTCCTGGTTTTTTTTCTTTTTTTTTTTTTTTGCATATCTTGAATGCTCTGACTTACAAGTGAGATTAATGTTATATTTAGAAAAGCAGTAACTACAGTTTCCATTATTTCCCCATTTGACATGTGGTTCAAATTAGCTTCTAAAGGCCAAACAAAAAAAAAATCAGTGTAAACAGAAGTGTCTTGTTTTTATTTATTAGCTGCAGCATGTGGCAAGTGATGCCCTTTCCAAGGCTCCTCAGCAAGCTGAAAGATGGTTTTGGAAGTGAGAGAGCTCTAACAATCTGAAGTTTAAATCCTTCAGGAGGAAGATTTTAAGGCTTGAACTCAAAACTGCTATTAAATGTATAACTTTTCCTTGACAGTCTTTGCATTCTGTAATCTTTGTTTTAATTACACATCAAGCTACATCCTTAATTAAGTACCAGTATTGGAGAGGTTGTGGTTGTGTGGCAGGTGCTTGCAAATAATTCTTCATTAAAATAGATGTGGTGACCTGCATGGAATAGTAATGAGCTAGTATATATGTATAGGAAGGTGTCTTTTGCAGGGACCTGGAAACGTGGAAGTGAGGAAGTAGCTTGTCCTTACGTTGCTGAGCTGCTCTGCAGTGCTGTGGTGGTGTCCCAGGAGGAGCAGTGCCTGCCCTGTGCCTCCTGCACGCTGCAGCCACCGCGGGGCAGCCCAGGGAGCCTTTCCTGGAAGGTGTTTCATCCGGGCAGGCTGGTTCCAGAAAGCTGTGAGAATGCCCATTTTTGAGTTTCTGGGCCATTCAGCCTTCTGATTTTGTGACCCAGGAGCACTTCTGTTTTGCTGTCGGCTGTAGCTGGCTTAGCCTGAGTCTTAGATATAAACCTTAACGTCCTGCAAGGCATCCTGAAGGGAACTCCCAGAGCCTGGGAGAGCTCCCAGGGTTGGTGCTGCACTTGGCTGTCATTAACTTGTTGAGCTGAAGTTGCCTCCTTTTCCCACTGAACAGGGAGTAATATTCAGCTCTATAATTCCAGTTTCAACTGCTGGAAGCTGCTGAAAGCAGCTGGGTAATCCAAGTACAAGTTTAGTTTCCTCGGGATCCTTTTGAGTTCCTGTTATGCCTCATCCACCTCCCTGTGGCTGTTGAAGGGTTAGTAACATTTATCGGTTGCATTTCTGGCTTTAAGGTTCACTTTTAGCACATGGAGCCTTGTGTGGCTCTTGCACAAGTTGGAGCAGAAGCTTTGCACACTTGTGGTCCTTTGGGATGCCCAAGGACAAGGTGATGGTGGCTCTCAGTGCAGTCTGAGGACCTCTCTTTGTTCCCTGCCCTGTGGCAGGTCCCGTGGTGAAAGCTGAAGGAAATCTTGCTGTCTGGAGCCTTAATGACTGTTTAATCACTGTGGTCTGCCCTGAGCAGGTCTGGACTCTGAGCACGTCTGTGGTGAGGACAGTACCAGCTTGTGTAGCATAGTACTGGGCGTGTGGTTTTGGTTTTGAATGGATTTAAAGGCCAGGTTTTAAAAATGATCCCTTGTTGTGGAATGCTGAAACTTCATGTTAAAATAAAGTGAAGAAAACGAACCTGAAAGAACTGAGTTTCACTTTCTGTTTTCTTGCTGTTGGTACTTCAGTGTTGAAATATTTGCATTGGGAAGTTTGACAGTAGCAGTGATTGATAACCAGGAGAGCTGTCTCGTTTAATGGCATTAATCAGCAGGATGCAAATCCAGTGGTCTCTGCAGTGCTGTCTGTAACACAGGCCAGTGCAGAACATGTTCAGTACAGGAATGCTGGCAGCAGCTTTCGAGCACTTGCCAGGAGTGCTAGTACCAATAAACTTAAGGTCGGATCTGACCTTGCAGCCTTCACATCACATGTATCACCTCTAATTCTTTTGATACTCACCCTGGAATGGCTGTTATAAAGTCAATATCTGGTGGCTTCGCGGCTGAAACACGAACTCTGATACACAGTTTTAAATTTTCTGGGTTTCTAAGCACGCCCTGATGGATGGATGTGACAGTGGTTTGCTGGAGCTGTTGGGGGTGTGAGGGAAGGGGGCGAGCAAAGCTGTTACTGAGTGGTGCAGAGCTCGGTCTGGGGCCTGGCCCTGATGCTGAAGGGGATGTGAGTGTGTGACCAGCCTGGCTTCCCTCGGTATGTGTGGAATTCCTCCTGCTCCTGAGCTGTGGTCTGGCCCTCTCAGACCACGGTTAGGCACAGAAATTGGGTTATGAGTTGAAGTCTCAGTGTCAGCCTCATTATAACTGGAGTCCTTCATTCCAACCCATGGCAAAAGTTTGCCTTTTTGTGATACATCAGCCCCAGGGCAAAGGTTGTTGTACCCTGTGCTGCCTCTGTTCCTGAAATAGTTTTCCTCTCTTAATTTTATATTTGTCTTGCTGGAGCCCAGTCCTGCAACAGATCTGTGTTCAACTTGCTTCATCCACTCTGTTGGATTAGATGGGACATCTCCAGTGGAGAACAGAGAGTGATTGTTCGTGATCAGGTTATCAAAGCCTCTGTAGTGCACTGATTCCATTTTCTTTTGTGCCATCACAGTTGCAGTGCAAGTAAGACTTCATTGTCCAGAAATACTCCAGTGTTTTCTTAGTGGAAGTTTCCTTTATGGGAACGATTACAGAAGAGGATTACAAAGATTTCCAGCAGTAGTTTTGTTGGTTTTACTCTTCTGCTGTTCTCCAAGATGTGGCAGAATAGCAACTTCAGCTGGGAACAGCTAAGAATTGTGAGTTTGAGCTGCCTCTGAAAACTGGACACTTGCTCAGTGGAGTGAGTTGTTTTTCAGAACAAATCGAGCCAAATCTGTTTAATTACCTGGCAGAAGGAAGGAAGTCCAACTCCTCTGTCTTGAATGCTCTTCCAGGTGTGATTCAGAGATAGAACAAGTCTGATAGTCTGGGTCCAAGGCTGGGAGCCAGGAACTTAAGTCCTAGGCTTTAACCCTGAGTGATTACTGCTCATCTTGGACAAGTTGTTTAACTATTTCCTGCCCAAATTGTCTTTGAAAAAAGTACCTGAATATAGTCAGTGCTAATTACTTAATTTTCAAGTTTGTTGCTTGCCCATTCTGTGCTGCTTTGTTAATAGCCTGGGACTTGTTCCATGTTTCCTCTTTTGAGAGCCAAAGCTGTAGCCTGGTTCAACTGGTGAAGGTGGTGAGCAGATGAAATCTCTCGTGTCTCTATCCCTAGCTTGTGTGTGTGGTCAGAGATCTGAACGGGGTCAGACCCTGCCCTGGTTCAGCACTTGGCTCTAGGTGTGTTACATCAGTCAAGTGCAGTTTGATGTTTATTTTTGACAGGCATCCAAATTGCAGAGCAGCGTTGAGAGCTGTTGCTTCAGCAGTGGTGGTTAGTCATGAATGCATGAAGTGTTATCTCTGAGTAAGGAAAACTGAAGCCAGGAATGAGGACTGCTGTGCAAAAGCAGTTTGCCACCTTCTGGGCTTTTTTTTTAATGGGAATAAATGGAATGGGAAGGGAGGAAGAATTCTCAGAGGAAAGTGGTGATGGTGTGAGGTTGTGATGCTGAGGAAAGATTGGGATGTAGTTGTGGGAGGGAAGTAAATTTGGGTTTTTGAGGGCTGTGGTCATGTTCTGTATGAAGTAACATCAGTTACAAGGAGCAAGGCCTAGTAATAGGTTTGTTTTTAAGAGGTGTTTTGAAATACTTGAGGTGACAGCCCTGTTCTGTATTCCCAGGCCTGCTCCTGTGTTTCAGCTGGTTTGGCTGTGTGCAGAATGACTGTCTGTCTCTGGGGAGAGAAATGGGGCTACTGTGTTCCAGGAACTGCTGGTCTGCCTTGACTAGAGTGTGCATTTAAAGTGGGAAGTCCCCAAAACAAAGAGCATTTAGCAAGTAGCTAAATAGTCAGTGGCTCTTTAGCTCCCCGAAGTAATTCAGTGCTCTCTTGGGTGGATTTGGGAGCTCTTCAGCTGTCAGTCACACTGACCAGTATTGTTCTCTCCCTCTGTGGTGCTTTGCTGTCCTTGGAATCTGTGTTAAATTCAAGATTCGCTGGAAAAAGGAGTGAGGTTTTCGTGTGGAAAATGTGGTGTTGCAGTGACCGAGCCATGAGACTCCACAGCACCAGCCAGTGCAATTTGCTATCAGCACGGGTCCTGGAGCATTATAGCTCTCGACCAGCTCTGTGGAACTTCTTAGCTTTCAGATTTAAAGGTGCTGCCTAGATGGCTCTGATTGGGTATTTCTACCCTGGAACTGGATTTCTCTGGTAGCTGTGGCTTCATAGCACATGTTTTGGAGGGGCTGAAGTGAAGAG